CCACCTGCCACTGGATTCATGGCCCCCGGGGTCAGTCCAGCCCAGCCTCACCTGGGGAGCCTGAATCCCACCTGCCATTACCTTTTCAAAATAAGTCACCTTCTCCAGTTCTGGGTGGATGCATTTGGGGAGGGTACGGGTCACCCCCACCCCATGCAGCATAAGGGTAACATAAATTCCTAGAGGGCTCAGTTCTGATTCAAAGCATTTGTGACTTATATTTGTTTTTAGTGAAAGTTTAATTTGCCTTTATCTTACAATAAGCAAAGCTGAATGTGTCTACATACATCAGCCATTTGCATTCTCCTCGCGGTGAACTTTTTTTTTATCTTTAACCTCTTTGACTATTTGTAATCAATACTTTCTATTGATTTTAGTAGCTCCTTATTTGTTGTGGACATTTATTGTTTATGTATGATAAGACCCCCAAATATTCTTACCTTGTTCTTTCGGTTTTGCCATATAAAAATGTACTATTCAATGTGTTGGTTCTTGTTTTTATGGCTCTTGCTTATGACAGGGATTTTGTGCCATAATTTTAAAAAATCTTTCCTGCTCCATCACAAAATATTGTCCTATAGTAACTGACCTGATACTTTCTTGACATAGATCTTTGGTGTTTTTCATCCTTCTCTCCTACAGCAATTCTCTCACTCACTTCCTGCTTTATTGGTTTACTTCTGATTTTTTGCCCACTTTGCTATTCCTGGTGCAAGATGTGAAGTCCAGCTTAAGTTTTTTCTGTTAGCCTTCTGGTTCTTTCTAAACCATTCATAAAAGCCCCATCTTAATTATAATAAAAAACAAATATAACAATAAATAAATATAGCAATAAAAAACCCATCTTGTCCCTGGCAAGCACAAGGCCTGAGTTCAATCCCCGATTCTGCAAAAAAAAAAAAAAAAAAAAAAAAAAAAAAAAAAGCCATCTTGTCTTCAAATACCTGAGGTGTTTCCTTTGTTGTATATGAAATTTTATGTGTACTTGGGGCCATTTATGACGTTCTACACTTTGCCATTGATATTTCTATCTATTTGTGCTCCAGGCCATTTGTTTTAAGTTTCATGCCTTTAAATATTTTATAAATCTAGTGGATTGAGTTCCTCTTCATCACTTTTGGGAGTCATTTCTGTTACTGTCACTCATTTTATTTTCCCATATGAACTATTTTGCGTCAGTTTGACTTAAATATAGACCTGCGTGTATAAATACATATGTATATGCACATATATGAATTGTGAGAATATATATATATATATATATCTGAATGTACTATATTTGTACATTTTTAGAATGTTTTCAGGAAAAGTATATTTTTGTGATGTTGAAAATTAAAAATTCCTAACAGACACAGTTTGCTTTTTATGCCACCATCCTCAGCTACCATTATATATATCTGATTAGATTTATTCTTATTTTATCTTTTTGTTGCTATTAACAATAATCTTTTTGTTGCTATTGGTGCTTGTGTACATATAATATCAATACTCTATATTTTATTAGTCTAACCAAATTAAAATTAAATATCTTACCATTGCATTCATTTTTAAAACTCTCTTAGGTTTTGCAGATTCAGAATCATATTTTCTACAAACAAAAATTAATTTTCCTTTTGTGCTCTCTAGTCCGTATGGCTGCGTTCTGTTTCTCTTCGCTAACTGTGGGCTCCAGAACGCAGTCAGGCCCTTTGCCTTCCCTGACTTCTTTCTGCAGACAGTGCTGATTTAGAGATGAAGAGCGATCAGTTTTATCATGTGAAGAAACCACCTTGTATTAAGTTATGAAATGTTTTTATGAAAGATGGTTGTTGAATATTATACAAAGCTTTCTTATCATCTATAAAAATGATTTTTTCCCTAAAGTTGAGCCATTTTTGCATCCTGACAATAAGCTCCATTTAGGGTACTGTAGTATTTTTTCTTTAATGTGCTGCAGGATTTTATTTGCCAATGTCTTACGTAGAGCTTCTTCATCAGAAGTCATGGGAGGTGGAGCTGCGCACTTCCCTAGTGGGGATTCGCTGCTGTCCTTGTCATGCTTGCCTCAAAAGGAGTCCGGCTGCTCGCTTTGCCCTCTGAGCTTTGGAACACTGCAGACAGCACTAGAGTCTTTTGTGTTTGAATATGTCCTAGAATTAATAATCTCTTGAAAATGTCTGACCTTAATGTTTTCTTGACATAGATCTTCGATGTTTTTCTTCCTTCGCTCCTGTAGTAATTAATTAATTACTTTGGATTTTCTGTCATTGTAAATTTTAGTAAATTATGTTTTCCAAAAAAGAATTATGTTTTCCTAGAAAATTGACCTTTCTTCCAGATCTTTAAATTTATTCAGAGATATAGCTTAGAGGCATGAGCATTTGCCTGGCAAGCACAAGGTCCTGAGTTCGAGTCCTGGTACCACAAAAGCGAACAAACAGATAAATGTATTTACTTAGGGTTAGACCAGGTGGGTTGTTTAGTCATTAAATTTCTCCCATGTCTATGATTAGTTTTTCTTTCATATGTTTTAGTTTCTGTGGTTATGATTTCTGCCATTTCTTTATTAATTTTTTCAAGGAACAAACAATGTTTTTATTGGTGCTATTATATTTTCTGCCCTCTAGTACGATTTGCCTTTATTATACTTGCTTGTTTTAGTCTGTTCATTTATTTAACAAATTTATGCAACAAGTATTTACTGAGTGCCTTTTAGTGTCTGGCCAACGTCTTAGGTGCGTGGGTTATATCAAGAACAATAAAAAAGTTGACCATCCAGGTGTGGTGGTGCATACCTGTAATCCCAGCACTCAGGAGGCTGAGACAGGATTGCAAATTCAAAGCCAGCCTGGGCTACACAGTGAGTTCAAGGACAACCTGAACTGCATAGTGAAACCCAGCTCCAAAAAATTTCATCAAAAATAGATGTTTAATTTTACCTTGTTTCATTCTTACTTACTTCAGGTTCTAAGAATGAAGCTTCACTGTTAGTTCTTTGGATTAGTATTTGCTGTCTTAGAACGCTTATGGGACAGAAAGGGAAGTAAGAGACGTGGCTGACGGCCACCAGCCTGCTTCATGTAGCTCCAACAATCATTGTTTGTTTAATTTGCATCTTAAAATTCAGGCCTTCTGGAGTGAGTTGTATATTCATTAACTTTCTCCACATTTAGTTTACACAATCCAAACACTATTCCCGTCTTCTAGAGGAGTTCCCTCACGTCCCATTCCGTCGATCCCACTCTGCTCGGCAGGCGTCCGACAACCGTCCTCCGCATTCTGCCTCGCAGTCCTGTCTTCCTCCAGACCAGGCCCAAAGGGGACTGTGCAGTAGCCTTTCGAGCTTCGTATCTTTTACTTAGCATCACCCGCATTGTTGTGTACGCCGAAGTCTCGCTCTTCTCAAAGGTGCGGAGTATCCCAGGATGGGTGTACTGACATCAGTCCAGTCGCCTGTTGAAGGGCATTTAGGGTGTTTCCAGTTTGGGGCTACTGCGAATAGATCTGCATAAGAATTTGCATACAGATTGCACACATTTTCATTTTCCTTGCTTGAATATGAAAACTATGGCTGCTTAGCTGTAGAGCAGCCGTCTCGTCAGCATCATGAGAACGTGCGCTGCTTTGCAGGCCGTGTTCCGAGATCCAGAGTGTCTACGCACCCGCCAAGCGCTTGGTGTTGTCCTTGCTGGTCATGGATATCCTGAAAGTCCTGTAGTGATATCAGATGGTGATTTTAACGTGCGTCTTCTGAGTGACTAATAATGTAGGCCATCTTTCCACGTTCTTACTTGCCATCTACGTATGCTTTTTAGTGAATTCTCTATTCAATTTTTTTGCATACTCTTTGTTGTTGCTTTGCTTTTTCATTATTGAGTTCTGAGTGCTCCTTATGTGTTCTTGCTGTACATCCTTAAGCAGACATGTGTTACAGAAGCATCTTCGCCAAGGGCTACTTTGTGTATGTTTTGTCTTATTAGCTATAATTTGAGGAACGGAACTTTTAAATTTTAAGGAATGTAATTCACCAATACTTTCTTTAGCAAATTTTGCTT